AAAGCTATTCCAGAGGTTGCCTAACATGGCCAGGAGAGCCCTGGACCCAGAATTAGATATTCTCTACCACATACTAGATCTAACCTTAAGCACCTAACTTCAAGTTGGTGGTGAATGAGAATAATGACATATGCCTTCCTGCTCCAGAAGGACCATTCTGTCAGGGTCCTCACGAGAACAGAGGGTACTGTTAAACTGGATGAGTTAGGAGGATTAGATAAAGTTGCAGGCAGGGTTTGAGGAAGTCAGCGAGGAACAGTGCAGCACCCTGTTGTAGCAACTATGGGAGCTGTTACCACCACAGGCCTGAAGGTCCAAAGAGAGGGAGCATTTTTCAGAGTCAGAAGGCAGCTTTGGGAGAGGGCCATGTGACCGGACTCATGGCCTTTGGCAGCAAGATGCAGCCAATCTATGCCAACCCTACATGCAGGAGCCAGGGGTGAGTGCCCAGCATCCCTTTCTCAGGCCCACCCATTGGCCAACCCAGCAGGAGACCCAGTGAAGGAGAATTCCTTGATGCAGTTTACAGAGGTCAAATCCAGGGTACAGGGCATGGTTTGGAAGGATGGAGAACAATACAAGATATATAGGGAACATATTAAAATTCCATGGAGATGTAAGGTGTTGTGACTATAGTTTCTCAGGATCAGAAAAGGAGTCCACAGAATTCTAAGGTAGTCTGTGGCCTTGGAAAATTAAAGTTCAGTCAGGGAGACAAATCTAATTCTGTGAAATAAAACAAACTTTAAGAAAAAAAGTTTAAATTTAGTTTTAATATTAGCAAATGTTTATATACTAGCCATTTTACAAATTTATTTTTACAAATATTATTTCACTTAACCCTTACCCAAAGCTCTTGGAGTAAATAATATCATTGTCTCCTTTTTATAGATGAGAGAACTTGGGTTCAGAAAGATTAAGTCACTTACCCAGTCACTTGGCTGGGAGAGACTGGATCTAAAACTTGATTCCAGGTTTTGGCTTAAACTTCTCAGATGCCCAAGAATGGGTCCTAATTAGAATAAGATATATCCCATGCTTATGTAATTTTATCAAAATGGCTTCTACTGTCACGTGTAACTAAAAAAAAAAAAAGTAAATAAAACCATAAAAATTCCCAGATCCCAGTGTTTCAGGAGATCAGAAGAGGTGACGTAGTGGGCAATGGAGGGTTCTGGAAGCTGCTACAGACTAGAACTAGGGCCTCCTGGAACGGATGAGATTTGAATAGATCAGGGATTAGCCAACTCTTTCTATGAAGGGTCAGGCAGTAAACATTTTTAGGCTTTTCAGTACCCACAGTTTTGTTCTTTCCTGCAGCTCTGCAGCTCTGGTCTGTAGAATGGAAGTTTGCTGACTCCTGCTAGGTGAGAGGAGGGGGTCAGGCACTCCAGGGAGAAGACACGGTATATGACACCATGTGAACAAAAGCCCAGAGTTGGAATAAAGATGGTACAGTCAAGGGACAATGAGGAGTGCAGCCTGACTTGGCTGGAGAGTTTCTGCAGGAAGCAACAGGAAATGCGGGTGGAGAGAACACTTTAATCCCCTGGGGCTGCCTAATACAGTGCCACAGACTTCAGCAACAGACAACGATTTTCTCACAGTCCTAGAGCCAGAAGTCTGAGATCAAGGTGCAAGTGAGGTTGGTTCCTCATGAGCCGTGAGGCAAGGATCAGTTCTAGGCCTGTGCTCTTGGCTTAAAGATGGCTGTCTTCTCCCGAGTCTTCATGAGGTCTTCCCTAGGTATGTGTCTGTGTCCAAATTTCTTCTTATAAGGATGCCAATTATATTAGATTGGAGCCCACCCTTGTGACCTCAGTGTAGTTTAATTACTTCTTTAAGACCCTATCTCCAAATACAGTCACATTACGAGGTACAGGGCTTTAGGATGTGTGAATTCTGGGAGACATAATTCAACCCATAACAGATAGGATGGCCAAACTATAGGGAGTTTTGGATTCCAGATTACAGTGAGTGAGGCAGGAAATTGGATTTCTTTTGCTTGATTATAATTCTGATTAGTACTTTGAGAAAACAAACACTAGTTATATACTCATATCATAAAAGGGGCATCTGCCCAAGTAAACAGGCCAGGTTCCATCAGAAGAGCATGGGAGCCTCGGCAATAGGGTCCCAGAAGGCTGGCTGTCCCAGGACTCAGCCTTGGCTCCTTATAGCATCCACCACACACCACGGATGTTCAGGTTGGGTGAGAAACGCCTTCAGCTCCTTCAGCTTCCACTCCAGCTGCTGCTAGGGGTGCCTGGTCCTGATGCCTCAACCCCCTCCCAACAGGGGAGCTAAAAGGTGGACAGTAGTGGATGTTCTCTGAGCTTGGGTAACAGGCTACCCGCTGTTGTGCATAATGAAAACTGGGCATTTCTCTTAGCAAGTATCCAGCTATTCCTACCAGCTGCCACATAAGGTCTTCCCAATGCCCCATCCCTGGGACAAAGCCAGAGCTGTTTTGGGTAACCAGAGTTTTCAGAACGAGGCAGATTTCACCACCTCTCCTCAAATTCATCCCTCCTTTTCCCACATGGAATTTTGCTGTGATGCCTCTCCAGGAGCCAGGATCCAGAAAGACAGGGCAGGCGCATATTTCAGATGCAGATGGTTCTCCACATATCTCCCCCCAGCTTCCAGGACGGGAAGGAAGGGAGAAAGGGAGAGAAAAGGGAGGATTGCCTAGAAGATTTTGTTTGCTATTTCCTTTGTGGTTTATTGCCAGGTAACCTTAGTGACTTTTTTCTTCTTTATCAAAACACAAATTGCTCTCTCAAAACGCTTACTAAAACCCCTTCCAGAGTCATTTTTTATTCACATGGATGGGTTTGGTCATTTTGGACACACACCTTATGTCATGTGGTCATCGTGGGAGCTAAGTGAGACCTGATTCCTTTTTAAGGAAAATATAGGGGTTGATGTCCTGGCCCAGCCTGGAGCAGAGCCACCACGAGGAGATTTATTTTAGGTAATTGAAGGAGTTGTCCAGAGTCAGTCATTAGTTTTACAGAGAGTTCAGTTCCTACAGGGGAAAATAACGATGGTGTGTTGTGAGCCTCTTTATCTGGTGACCACAGCTGCAGACAGCCAGGCCAACTGGCTGCCTAAACGTCACCTGGTGTTTCATAGGAGATTCCCTCAATCAGGTGTATAAACCCTCGGGAGTTACAAACCCAGACATACCAAGGAATGCCAAACCTGACCGTGCCTAGAGCTAATGCTCCTTCCCCAAATCACAGGTTGATCTGTGTGGTTTCTAGTGTCAGGGGATCAGTATGCACACAACTGTTTTCCAAGCAGACCAGGGAGAGACGATAGCTGTGCACCCCTATTTCTATACAAATAGCCTTACTAAGTACCACTTAAGCAGGAGTGGCCACCAAAAGTAGATGTTTCGGGAGAGGGAGGGAATGATTAATTCAAGGATGTAATTGATTTTGGGCAAGATGGAGTTTCTGCTGGGCATGGTTGCTCCCTGCAACTAGAAAAGCTGAGGCAGGAGGATCCCTTGAGTCCAGGAGTTTGGGGTCAGCCTGGGCAACATAGAAAAACCTTATTTGTTAAATGAAAAGGAAAGAAAGAAAAAGAAAAAAGATGGAGTCTATACATCTCTTTTAACCATTGATGATATTACTAAAAATGCAGTGTTGAGAAGCCAAGGGACAGGACAGCCCAGAAACCCACATTTGGTCCATAGTACCTGGTACCAGTGAAATAAGAAAGTCGGAAACAATCTTCCTCTCTGCTTTTCTTTCTTGCAGCCAAAGAACTTCACAACAAAAACTGAGTTATGCATAAACATGCTAACACCAAGCATTATAAGTTTTTGACAAAATAATTTTGACCATAATTATATAATTTTCTCTTTTAAAGCCCAGTATTAAGATGTAAAAAAATGAAAATCATTCTTCTCTTAGGAAAAGTTCCATTAATATTGTAAATGTCTTCAAATATTAGTTACTAATAGACAGAATAAATAAAATACTGCATTACCCTATGGCAGACTTTTAAAAGTAAATAAAAGTAGACACAAAAGGTAATTTAGCTACTCTATATTAAAGTAGACTCTCAGATTAACTCCCTTTAAAAGAAAACAAAAAACGAAATGCACTGCTCATTCAAAAGGAGTGTAAAATGGGGCCGGGACGTAGCTCAGTAGCAAAGCATTTGCCTCACATTCACAAGCTTTGGGTTCGATCCCCAGTTCCAAAAAAAAAAAAAAGAAAGAAATGCATAAAATGAATATATATTGCTCAAAGAACAATAAAAATAAAATTTGTGAAAAGAAATATAAACAAATACATATATGTTTTTGGATGTGATCGGAGTAAGTCAATTGATGATCTTCACTGAAGAGAACACAATGACTTAACTGGATGAAGGGGAAAGTAAGTCAACAGGTCATTTTTCCACCTGTAAGTGGCACATCCAGCTGTGGGTGGTTAGGGAGCCCTGGAGTGCACTACAGGTGGGAGTTTCATGACATGGTCCCACGTGGAGGAGAATACAGAAGACTGGCCAGTGGGTGTGGGTGAAGGTGGAGGCCAGTGCTTCAGTTTGCTGTTAACGGTTTCCCTACTTGAGCCTGTGAGAGGGGCACCCCCCCTAAGCAGGCAGCAGGGATGATTTGCAGTCCCCTCCCGGGAAGTCCTCACATCGGGGTCACTCATTAGATGTACCCATGCAGACTGAAGCTAAAGTAGATATGAAGGATAGCATTGGTTTTACTCATAGCTCACCATTTGTTTTGTGTTGTTAATTTATGTGATTTGGGGTTTTGGTTCTATTTTGCCATATTTTCTTATATGTTTTGGTCTATTACTTTTATTTATATATGTGTTTATTTATTTTTGGTTAATTTTTGGAGATGAAAATGGATGCTCTATGTGGAAGCTGAGTTCCTGTTTCTTTCTTTTGCCCATGGCTGACTGCATGTTCTCTATTGATGTCTTGTTCCTGGTTCTTGACACTGACCATCTTGTCTGTGAAAGGAGGCACTCCAGCGGGCTTGCTTGATCAGAAGAAAGGGAAGTTTGCTTGGTTTAGTCACTCCACAGAAACCCATGGTAATGTGCCCCTGTGCTCTTTGTGTGTGTATGTGTTGGTCCACACCAGACAGGATGGGAGGGTGTTTCTCTTGATGGCTTGTGATGTGGTAGTCGTGTATGTGTGCACATGTGTATATGTATTTGTGTGTATGTGTTTGTACATACGTATGTTTTTGTGAGGGGATGAGAACTTGTTCATCTCAAAGCCACTGGCTCATCACCTCTTCCTGTGTCTAAAGTCAGCAGACACCCAGCAGCAGCTACTCCTGGGTGGAGCCAGCCCTTCCTTTGGATAGTGTCAGCCAAGATCAAGGCCACTGCAAATGCAAAACTGATACTGGTGCAGGCAGTGCCTTGATTTGGAAGATGATATACTTACTCCTAAGACCCAGGACTGCCTACTACTATTGTTGTCTTTCCAAGCCTCGCACCACCATTGTCACACTCCACATGTACATAAGGGCTTCTCTGGGAGTCAGGTGCCCCACAGTCAGGTGTCTTTCCACACACAGCTTAGTCCTCCCAACAATGATGCCTGGAGTGTTAAAGGAGCCTGTGGTTAGAGATGGATGGACATAAATGCATAGAAAGACTCGAGGTTCCTCAATTTTATGACTTCTTCCTTAGCATGGACCAAGCAAGGACTTTAGAAAGCTCTGAAGGTCTGTCTTCCAAGCTCCCAGTGGTAAAACCAGACTCAAGGTCTGCTTCCACCAGCTCCCTCTGATCTGGAGCTATAAAGTGAATGTAAATGCTTTACAACTCAGCACTACTGTGGTGCCATTCCCTGCTGTAGGATGTAGAGCAGAGGGTTGGTCAACACCAGGAAAATCAAGATGAGCATGATATGGGGGCCTGACACCTGTGCTCTGGTCCCAGTCCTGTCCCAAACACACCATGTGACCCTGGACATCACATTCCTCCTCTAGGCCTCATGTGCCTTTCCTGTTAAATGAGGGGATGTATTAGAGCTAAAAACACAACCTGGATTTCTTTTTACCCAACTTTATTGAAAGGGAGTCCTAGGTTGGAGATGTCTTTTCTACCTGACAGTCAAGCATATGGCAAGTCATGGACTTTATGTTTGTATCTTCCAATGTTCTTGAAATGAGTCTCTTCTCACCCACTTGGCTTGTCTTCATCCAAAAGAAAAGAAACCGAGGAAAGTCAAGGCCTGACAGTATTATCTATATAACCACCAGAAGTCATTTCCTGATCTGTGGCAGCCCTGTGGAGACTTGTCACCCAATGTCACACCCTCACTAATTGCAGATTCTGTGGCTGATGAGGGCTAGTGATTTTCTCACCAGATGAGAAAATCTGGAAGAGCTGAACCAGCTATCCTAAAGAACTAGCATTGCCTAAATTAAGAATCTTATGTCATATTAAAAAGGTGACAGAAGATGACAGAATTCTTTGAGTCAAACTTTAATGTAGAATAATAAACAACAATAAAAGAAATGGCTTCTTCTAAGTTGCCAAGGTTGGCTCTTGTGGAATTAGATGGTTTAACCTGTTGGAATGGGGATGTCAGGATTACTGGAAGCAGGGTTGGGGGTTGGTATCCCTGCAGATTGTCCTCAGGCCATACTTAAACTTAATTCTGTGGGTTTCACACTCCAGCACCTCCATTCCTAATGTCTACGATGCTAGTGTGAGTCTCAGTACATGACTCTGGTAGTGCCCATCCACTTACAGTTTGCCATTTCAGGTACCATCCTGAGTGTCATGGACTCAGGATCAGCGTGCACTGCCAGAATAAGGAAGTCCTCAGATCTATCTGGTAGTTCCTGCAGCATCAAAAATGTCCTTTCTACAAATAAAAGCTGGACCCCGATCTTGAGAATGGAGCCCCTTAGAATTGATGGGTGGAAAGGAGGGAGGAAAAAGTCTTTTCATGAAAACTCCTCTTTATGGCGAATATCAGATGCAAATGGAAAGCTTCCACAGCTATTCTGGGGCCGCAGGTTTGAGGGTAGAGAAAAGATTCAGTGGCTGACCAGATGTGTCTTCTAGGGTAAAATGATCTGTTTGCCAGATTCCCTCCCACATTCCCACTAGTTAACTGTGTCCTCGGCAGCAAGATATTCCCTAGACAAGCAGCAGGTAATCAGTCAAGGAAACTCCTGAAGCTGGCCTGGATCCCACAGAGGGGCCAGCAGATGGCTCAGGTGCCTTCCTCCCAGCCAGGATTGTGTGTCACACACTAATGCTCTTCTGTTCCCTTTTCTTTTCCCACCCCCAATGCCTTGCCCTGTGTCCTTTGGCTCTTGCAGTGAGCATGCCCACAAGTGAGACTGAGTCTGTCAACACCGAAAATGTGGCTGGAGGTGACATCGAAGGAGAAAACTGCGGGGCCAGGCTGGCGTGAGTAGGCACGGCGAACCCAGGCACTTGGGGATTTTCCTGGGGTGCGGGCAGGAAGACGGCTCCTGAAGTCAGGATGGGTAGGCTCATCACTGGAGGGGCAGAGACTAGAACATGAACCTCAGGTGACAGCCTGTGTGGAGAGAAGAGGGCCCTGGGGTGGAGTATAGCCCCAGACGTGGATGGGAATGAGTCCAAAAATTGAAGTCTTCAGCTCAGCTCTTCTGTGAGGGGTTGACTCTCAGATTTTGAGCCCAACTCATCTTTTCAGAGAAATACAGAATAGGGAGGGAGCAAACAGACTTTGCTTCTCTCCATTTCCTCTCATAACCTTACACACAAGAGATGGTAGTTTAGGTTCCCTGGGACCCACGCTTTCTATTCTGATAAATGTGGCCTGGAAGAAATACAAACAAGGAAGAAACTATCCCACTACATGATATATTTTGGGTCCTCATGGACAATGCTAAGTTATCCTTCTAATGAAGGGAATCAAGTGCCTGAAGCACCATCTTGAATAAGTAAGAGCTCACTTGTGTTCAGCCTTATGTTGGCCCTCTCCAACAAAAGTCAGTGCTTAGATGTTTCCCTACCTGCTTTCTGAGTCAAATACCAATCGCTGGCTTCTGGGAGCTGACTTTGACCCAGAACTGGGCCAGGTGTGATGGAGCAGCTCTAGGGGCATTGCTCATTTCTGGATTATCATAATCTTAAAAGTAGAAACCAGTCATTCATGTTCAATGTCCTCCCCAACCAAAAAAAAGGGGGGGGGGAATGGTTTAATTGCTAAAAACAAGCAAACAAAAACCTCCTTTGTTTTAATTACCAGTACCTCAGAAGTCCAAGTGAAAATTGAAAACATGTCATCAGGTAGTCATATTGACCTTGAGCATGAGGCCTCTGAGACCATTTAGGCATCCCCCTCTTTGGGAGATAGAGACTGTTCTTCTTGTTACCTTGTAATATAAGAGCTGTAAACTCATGGTGGTCAATGGAAAGAACTGCAAACAGAAGGCTCTGAGAAGGACCAGTCCCAAATAAGATGTCTTTCTAAATTGCTGCATCAGCAGAATAGCACCTTCCTCTCTGGCCTGACTCAGTAGCTGGGACAAACCCTAGTCCTTTTTAAAAGGTGAGCTGCAGGTGACCCTGATCACAACAACTCAGTCTTGGGAATGGCCTTCAAGCCAAAGATAGAGAAGAGAAAATGAGGTTGAGGACCAGACCAGCTCTACAGCCTGTTTTCAGGGTGCATGGAGCTTTGGTAACGCTCATCTGACAGTGGCACCGGGGAGTCTGCATTGCAGATTTCTCAGCATTGTTGGGAAGCAATTATTGTCAAAATGTTGTTAAAATACGATGCTAATTACATTTTTAAAGCAGCAGTCCAAGCCTTTTTCCTCTTCTCTTCATTTGGAATCATACAAAATGAGCACTTGAGTTTTTGGAAGTGGGCCCCAGACAGCAACACTGGAGAAAGGCTTTGAATCCATAAATTCCAGACCTTTCTGTTATCTGGACACCAAGAGAAGGATTGGAGAGAATATTATCTAGGACCCTGCAACTCTGGCATTTGGGCATGGCCTGTTGCAGACCAGGAGGAACCAGGAACCTGTCACTGGGAAGTCACTTACAGTTCATTTTAGGAGCATGTGAGGCTCTGTTGGAAGGAGAACATGATTTATCCCCCGTAAAAGGAGGCTGGCAATCTCTAATCTATCTGTCATATCTTTGGAGAATACACTCAGCAGTCTTCAAGAGTTCTATAGAAATGGTTGCTGCTATTCCTGTGCATGTCCACATTGAGGCATCTACTCTGTGCATACACAGTACCCAAGCACAGTGCCAGAATTATAATATGCACTTAATAGATTATGGTCTTTCCTCATCTCTCTGCCTCCCCACCCCACCCCACCACAGTCAATGTTGGGGTAAGACTCTGCCAATGTTTCTTATGGGAGAAATAATATGAGAACAGTAGGAGCCTGAAGAGACAGCAAGGGCCCAGCATTTTTAAAGCTAAGTCTCTTATAATAAGATGAGGTAAGGATGAGGATTTCTACGTGGCAAGAAGGCCTGGGTAAAGGTGGTTCCTATGGGGGCCAGAAGGCCGGAGAGAATCTGATACTTTGTTGGGGAGGGGCCAGTTGAACAGAGGAGATGATGAAGAGAATGGGGCCATCAAAGTTTGAAAAGAAAAATGGATCTGTTGGTATCACATAGACAGTAGGATAAGGAGATCCACAGCTCAGCTCTGAGCAGAGCTAGAGGCACACATCTGAAGTTATCAGTGTAGAACTAGCAGTGAGGTAACAGCATAAGGGTTCACAAAAGAATAGAAAGCAGGAGGCCAAGGGCTGAATCTTGGGGAACACAGAATAGGAAGAAGAAAACAAAATGGACATTTCTGTGGTAGAACAGACAACAGCATTGGCCTGGGAACTGAGGGAAGAGGAATTTGAGGACCCATTTGGATTTGAGCTATTTGAATCTCTATCTGACAGTGTACCCAGCCTACTGCTGGGCAATGGTGATCTGTAACCATAGAAAAAACTGAAGCCACCTCAGTGGAGCTGACAATCTAGTGTATAAAGGATACTCAATAAATAAATGAGTGATTCTAAATTGGGATAGACATGAAGAAGGAAAAGTAAAAGTAATGCAGGTTCAATAACAAAGGGTCCTGATTTAGAGTAGAGAGTTAGGAAAAATTTTTTGAATAATTAAAATTTAAACTGAGACTGGAAGGGTGAACATAAAGAGTAGGGTCTAGTAGTATTTCAATCAGGCATGTTCCCAGGTCCTTGGGCATAGTGATTGCATATGTGGGAGGACAGAAGACGATAAGGCACGAGATAGGGCAGGGGAGAATAGGACCCTTAATGAGTTTGGTCATTGCCACAAAAGTGTGAGAAGTCATTGAAAGGTTTTAGGAATGTGAAGCTGGGTAAGGAGGTTAATTTGGTTGGCTCTGTATTCTTGACATTTCACTTCAGTGTTAGGAAAAGAATAGGAGGAATCGACATGTGAGTGAAGTGGTCATGATGTCTACACAGGTGCCAGCATATGGTGGCTCGGGCCAGATGTGGAGATGCAAACAGAGGTGGATGGTCAGGGTGGTCAGCATGTCCTAGAGCTCTGCTCTCTGGGGTTTGAGGGTGCACTGATGGTAGGAGTTGGTCTTGGGGAAAGAGGGGTAGAAATGTGCCAGCATGGAGCACCCACTCAAGAAGTGAGACCACCGAAGGGGGAGAGGAGGCTGCGATGGAAAGTGGAGGGCTGACTTTGTCATTGTTGGGGCCATCTTTGAGACAAAGAAGAAGCCACTGGAAAGGAAAAGACTAAAGAAGCTGGAGAGGAAATGAGCACTTATAGAAGAAATTTCTTAAGAAGAGGGGAGGGTTGACTTCAAGATGCAGGTGGAGATGCTGAATGCGCACAGAGGGAGGTACCCTACCTGGCATCTGGAGTCCTGGCATCTAGTCCCCATCAGCCACTAGAGAGCAGCCTTATTGCCTTAGCTAAAGTGCTCTGCTCTGAGTCTCAGCACCTTCTTCTAGAAACAGAGGGCTGGATGGACCATTACTCTCAGCAAAGCCAGAAGGGGCTGACACCACATACAGGGGCCACTTTCATTTCTTTGACAAATTGGGGTCCTCCGTCAAATCTCACATGAGTAAATTTACACAGATAAGAAATCACACGCCAAAGGTCCGCGTGATACCAGAGATTCCTTCCAGCTCTCAAAGCCTAAGGTTCTATGAAGAATATAGAATCAGAAGCAGGCTGTGATGAAGAGGGTTGGTGAGGGGGCACTACACCAAATATCTCCATCATCTCATCACAGAGTGATGTGTTGTAGGACCTTGAAGGACAGTGCAGGAGGTTCAAACTTGTGAATCATCGAGGGATGACTAAGAGATTACTGAGTGACGCCAAAGCTCTGGTGAAGACCAACATCATCAATATGGAGTCAGCTTCACAGAACAATTCCACTATTTTTTGGCAAATGGGGTAGCCTCCTAATGCTAGAGACAGAAAGAGGTGGAGTTTAGCCACACAGCCCCAACCAAAGGCTAGGTGGTATGGACTCAGCCTTGTATTTGGGGTGACATAGACATGAAGCCAAGCACAAGAAGTCAAGTCTGGTATCAGTCTGGGAGTCTCGGAGGAAGGTTGAGCAATTGGGCGAAGATTGGTTGCTATGAAAGGGAGGAGGCTCAGGCCTGAGATGTGGTGATACTGAATTCATGTGCTGGTGACAAAGTTTTGGAGTTAAGGAGGCTGAGTCAGAGTTCTGTCCAAGTGGAGATGACTGCGTGCCATCTGACTTATGTTAAAGGCAAATTGGGCACAATTCAGGGAAATAGTATTTCACACAGCAGGTAGTAAACATATGGTGCTCATTACTCAAAGAAAGGGAGAGAGGCTGGAAATATAAATAGCTCCTGAGAAGTTCAAATATTTGTCAAATAATGACAAATGCAAATTGAATAACTACGCCCAGAGGGGAGTGGAGAGAAAATGTTTTGGATTTGAACCTCAACATCAGAGAAGAAAATCATGATCTCCTAGAAGGTTTGTTCTGGAGGCCTGAACAGAGCAAGTGTCTTGGCTTGAATGAACTTTGGTTTCTATCCAGTGAAGTACCGCTTTCATGTGTAAGTTACTGACTTTCTCTGCCTCCTTGTTCTTCTTCACAAGCCCACTGAAAACGTGAGAAGGGAGATGCACCTCGCTAGATTATTAATGATGGAGAAACCAAGAAGACTTCTTAGCATGTCACACATGACCCATTGGAGCTTGGGGAAGCTGGAGTCTTCTACTCTTCTAAGGACTGTTTGGAACCTGGGGAGACAGTAGGAGACAGCATTTGTCACAGGCTACCCAGCCCAGGATGGGGAGTGGTGGCACCCACGACCCCTTAGCTCAGTTACTCACACAAAGGAAGCAGCTGTTCAAACATCCAGCCCTTGGCTACTACCCAGGAGGCAGAAGACTGCCAAGCAATGGTGTCCCTCTATTTTCGTGAACTGAGGTTCCATGTTCAACTGCCCTCTGTACAGAGGGAGTACAGAGTAATCAAGGCCCTTAGACTTTCAAAGAGTTCTAATCCAGCTCTCTAAGAGAGAGAGCTGAAGTTTTTCTTGTCTCCAGACAAATGCCCCTTGAGCAGTACCCGCCCCTTCTTCAGCACAGGTGCCTAAGTAACCTGGGGCTGAGTGTTTCTACTGATCAATTATAAAATGTGCCAATATTTAAAAAGGGTGAATATTTCAGATTCACAGAACCTAAAATTATGCTCACAACCCCCCTCAAAACAACAAGAAGAAAGCCAGTCTTCAAGTTGGTGTCCAAGCTTCTACATCAAGATTTGGAATTAAGCAGGCAAGAAAGTCCTATTCCGTTCCTGCTTGTTCGTGGTACACCAGGAAGCCAGGAAAGGACCCATAGTCAGTGATGGTGCATGAACTGGGACCTCATTATAAAGAGTCACCCCAGCCCTGATCCTTCCCTGAGTCCATGTCCCGGAGTCATTTCCTCGAGGGAGGTGGACATTCAGATGTAGGTTTCCCCATATGACAGCTCTTAAGAACTCCCTTTTGCTTGTGACTCATTTGGAGTAAAAGTGAGGAGAAAACTTAAAGGGAGGGCAAGTGGTCATCGTTGTCACACACACCAGAGAAACAGAGTCTTAAGGCTGAAGGCCATAGCTACCCACTTTGACTTTTATTTAATAGCAAGGAGAGGCAGATACCCCAAAAGCAAGCCTGGGAAAGATGTTGAAGGTCCCAAGCTCAGCGTGGCACTGCTGGAGACGACAGTGCCCTGGGTTCCCCATCACCCTATTAGCAGCTGGAAAACATTTGTTTCCCCCATTAAACGTGGCTCTAAATGAAAATGCTGCCCTTGGCTCCTGGTCCCCCTCCCATACATTTGTTAACGTGTGATTAAACCCTCCAGTCCTAGCAGGCAGTCTTTGGGGTGGGAAAAGGTCATTAGCTAACGGTTCTGAGCAGTAAAGGCACTTGGCTCTGATTCTCAGTGCCCCAGAGATATCATTATCTCATGCACGATGGCTTTGCCACCTGTCACATCTTCTGGTTTAATTTTTTTTAAATAAAAAAAATAACGAGAGGGGTTGGTTTTTTCCTGCTGTGTGACACAGCTTGCTTTGTGCTCTGCTGGGACAGCACCAACTTGCAGCAATAGCCTCCCAGACTCCCCTCGCCTGTTTTCTCCCCACATGGCTCCTTGTCCCTTACCACTGTCTCCATCTCTTCATCTTTCGTTTGCACAGTCTTTCCGCTTGTCCATCTGAGTGTCAGTCCACCTGCAGTCTGGCCTGTGTTCACTTCCTTCTCTTAGCATTAAGCTAAGAGTCAAGCTCTCCCCTCCCTCTCCCTCCCTCCCCCAACCTCTTTTAATTTATAAAAGTATAATTTGTAAATTTTAAACAAACTCTGACAAAACCTCTCTCTCTCTCTTTTTTCTCTCTCTCTTCTCTCCCCCTCTCCCTCTGCCTCTCCCACTCCTCTCTTCCATGCTTCTCATTTATTACCTCTCTCTTGCCTTCTTCTCCCTTCCTCCTGTCCCCTCCCAGTGTCCCCTGGACTCCTTATCTATGTGATCTCCTTGAAGGTCCCACTTTTCCATAAAACCCCCCACCCATATAATGAATGACCCTTTGAGGCATCCATCACAGCAGACCTACTCTGTGCTTCTGGCCAAAGTCCCCCAGTCTTCAGGGCTGCACATGACTATTAGCATTCTGGATTTCTCCTCAGAAGATGTGGCTCTTTCTTTAACATCTGTCCTTACAGCTCTTGAACAGGTTCCTAGCAGCCTGTCCACCCCAAGCTGGCTCGTTTTGCTGGTCTCACTTCCTAACCCAGCTTTGGCAGGTCTTCTGGCAAACAGCAGTGAGGTCCGTGCTGATGTGTCCTGCCTGTGATTTTTCTGCAGTGGGGTTCTCCCATGTGCAGGAGAGGCCTTCCTGTCCTCTGAGGCTTTTCTCAAGAGGCAGCTCTTCCCAACCTTTCCTCATGGAACTTACTGTTCTCATGTTGATCTGAGGACAGGGGACTCTCATTTTTCAGGGAGGATCACCTGTACTTAGAAGACATTAGTGTCATCTGGGCCAACCCTTATCTCCACATTCAAATACCCAAAATAGTGTTCTTTCTGTCCAACTTCTCATTCACACCGGCACATCCTTCCAGTGCCCATGTAGAGTTACCTGAGGACACCAAACTCCTCTGGGATTGTTGAATATCCTCTACATGGAGAAAAGTGAGTGTATGTCCTTTGGTAATGTTTCCTTTTTCTCTTTCAGCCACCGGATCTCCAAATCGAAGTTCAGGTGAGTGAGATACATACTGCTATTCCTTCCTTCTGCCCACCAGCTTAGTCCTCAGCTACCATTTTGGGTGGCCCAGGATAACCACTGCTAGTTGGCAGGTAGAGAAAGAGGTGTTCTTCTAAGGGGTGATGGCTTTCTTTTTTGTAAGGTTCTGAAGAAGAGGCTCATGGATCAAATGGGGAAAATAATTCAGGATTGAGATTTGTTGAATTCTTTGGGACTTTTGAGCAGTGCTATCCCTGGGAGGTTGAGACCAAATGTCTCTCTCCCTTATAAGAAACAGAGTCCAATTAAAATAAACATATGAGCACTTGCTAGTCTCTTGACCTACTTTATGCTTATGGAACATGGTGAGATATGAACTTTGAGGACTGTGGAAAGCAAGGAGGATTATGACTCTGTTCTGAGTCACTATTCTGAGACAACATCAGAACCTTCCAGAGGGCACATGGTCTTCAGGCTGTGATCTGTCTTTTGCTTTACCCTCTGTATTCCCCGGTAAATACCCTTTGTTCCAATTACATACAACTTCTTGCAGTTATCCAAGTGTTCTCTGTCCTCTTATATATTAAGACCTTTGCACAAAGTTTCCCTCACCTAAATCACCTGTCCCTGTCCTCATCTGGAAAACTCACACTATGGTTAAGAACCACAAAAGTTACTGCATCTGTGACACACTCCCAGAGGAGACTGACTCACCTACCCCCATTCCCACAGTGCTTTGCAGATGTCTCTAGCACTGCATTTACCAATTACTGGCTCAAAGACCTAGGCCCTGTCTGCATGCCTCAGAGCTATTATTCCCTAAGAGTCTAACTCAGCGCTGGTGCAGCTCTAGGCTGCCCCCTAAGTGTGTGTTGAATGGATGGATGTGTGGAGTGAGAATATAAACTGACTCCTGCAAATCTTACATGTACCAAAAATATTCATCTTCATTTTTCACCACCGAGTCTTGCTTCCCTAGCATCACTTACTATGCTAAATTAAAGGCCAGCTGGGTAAATGTAGCCCAGTCCCCTGAGATCACCTCTGTAGTCACTTAGATTTCCTTTGGTTCAGCTTCTCTCTAGAGCCAATATAGATGCATGGGGAGAAGAGGATTCCAGATCCTAGAGACAGGTCTTGGTGAGGACTCCTCAGGAGTCCTCTGGGTTCTTGCTTGCTCTGCTTCATAAGGCTAGTCTGAGCTGCTCTAAGCTGGCACCCGCTGAGGTTCAGCAGGTCCATCTGGTTTGGGCATCCACCTGTAGAGGCCACGCCCCATCCCCTTGCATCCAGTCTTAAAGTCTCCACATCTGCTCTTTGATGCCTGACTCGATTGGTCCACTGACTTTAAGCACCTTCACACCTCATCTGAGCACATGGATACTTCCAGGTCACTCACACTCCATGAATGTCCTATGGGGAGCCAGGAGCACTAAAGCAGGTCCTCCACACACCTGAGTCCCAGTCAGATAGAGCTCTGAGTCAAAGGCTGACATTCTCCCTGAAGAGCCTACCCACCAGCCCCAGTGACCCTGGGCCTCCCTGATGGCTTTCTAGTGTTTCTAAAGCAAGTCTCTTTAACTCTCTGGGGCTCAGTGCCCAAGGGCTAAGATTTAATGAGGACTCTGGTGTCAGACTCTCTCTCCCCTTTCTGATACCTTGTTTCTCCCATATGCTACTGAGACTGGGAAATGCAGGTTTTCCTTCTCTCCCTCTTTCTCTAAAAACTCCTTTATGTAGAAATCTAAGGTCAGCTCTATTGGATCTGGCTCTTATTACATGAAGGAGAGCTCTAAAACATTTTTGAAATATCCTTTCTCAATAATGCATGAATTTTTCTCGCTTTATCTCCAGCATGAGGAGAAATTTCTGATACATAATAAGGACCTAATAAATCTATGCTGAGTGAATAAATGAATTATGCCTAAGTAAGACAAGAGACTGGACACACTTTCAAACAAAATATCTAATTTGACAGCCAAAGCTGAGAAGCATGTTTTGCTCTTAACAGTTCCAAAGCCCCCACACAATAAAGTAAAGGGCTATAAAATATTTCCAAAATTTCATTCTTATTACATGTAAATGAATGAATGAGTGGATAATGAATGAATGAATGTGCTCTGGAGGATAAGAGAAAGTTATATACTTCAGTTACATCCTCAGTGGACACTCTGGGAACCATTTTGTTAATCCAATGATTTATCATGTAATATATGCTTTTTTAAAAAAGGGAATCTCTACTCCACTTTGAGGCTTTTCTCAATCTGCTTTCTACAAGCCAGTGGGCCCTGATCCCTGAAGGATTTCTCCCTCTGTAACCACACTCTCAACACAATGAAGTGCAGAGAAAGGACTCCATATTCCCAACTGGCCTATTACTGATAGTTTGGTACAGTCATTAAACCTACCTGCAGATAAGGACCCTGAAGCTTAGAGGGGCCCAGGGTCACACAGCTCACATATAGCCACATGAGTTCTGAGTCAGGAGCCCTGCTGCTAGTCTCTGTGCCATCCTGCTCATCAAGTCTGCCCAATAATACTAAACCCTGTCCCCATGCACCTTATTGTACCCTGGGCATAAAGTGGATTGTGCTAGGGGAGTGATAAGGCAAGGCACATAGGAGATTTAAAAATGTTTTTGTAGTAGCCATGTTTAAAAGTATGAAGAAACAGGAGGAATTAGTCTTAATACCTTTTATTTAAACCAGTGGTGTATCTAAAACATTATTTCAACATGTAATTAGTACGACACATTTTTAGTAAGAAAGTTTACATTTCTTTTTTTTTATGCTAAGCCTTTGAAATCCAGTGTGTATTTTACATTTACTACACTTCTCTGTTTGTATTGGCCACATTTCAAGTACACAAAAGCCACATGTTGCTAGAAGCTGCTGCCCCCGACAATGTGACCCTGGAAGTTCTGAGTAGATATCAAAGGGAAACCATCTAATTCAGGTTCTGAAGCCTCTTGTTGGTGGTGCCTGGTTGGGGAATATCAGAGGCCGGCAATAGATTGGAAGTGCCTCCAAGATTATCAGTGTCCCAAGTTGTTCCCTCAGTTAGGTGGGGCAGTTTAACAGTAACATAAATCTTAAACCTCAAACTGGCCTGTTTCATGTGCAAGACTGAATGATACAAAGTCTAACAAAGTCACAGTTTATTTAAAAGAATTATTAGAACTGGGCTTTTAGGGGGAAATTGGCAAATTAGCAGACTTATGGTATTAAAACAATTCTAGGGTATTGCTTTGGTAATCCAGGTTTCCACTGAAAGGAATTAGATAAAATAAAAAATGAGCAACATGTGGGGCCAAGAGTTCAGCATAGGATGCAAACAGACCTGGGACGTACGATTCAGAGAGTCTTTTGCAACCTGGGGGTGTGCATCAGATGACCTGTTGGAGTTTTTGGACCTCAACTATGCAGAATTTTGAAGTGAATCTCATGGGTTTTTAACATTGGAGGACTGTGTTGCCTTGTCCCCAGAGTTCCCTGTACTTCTTGTCATGCCATAACCAACAAGGCACAAACCCATATTTGCCCCAATCTTTGTCCATTTTTAAGTTATTTGCTCATAAAAGAATTCAAATTAATGATTTCCTCTGCTATCCATTCTTCATTCTGATTTAAAAAAAAAAAAAAAAGATGGAAACTTACTCTGGCCACTTGAGAGAGCCTGACATACTCATTATTTTCCTGTCATCTGCTCTTCTAGATGCCTGTCAGCAGTTACAGGCTGAGAAACTCTCCTCACCCCACCCTGTTTCCTGGGTCACAGGGGCTCAGGGATCTTAAGCCTTATCCTCCTCGGGGAGTTAGTAGATCTATGTTGTTTGTCTCTGTAGCTCATGCAGTCTGTCAGCTGAATGTCCCTCTATGTGGGACAGATTGTGCTAAGTACTGTGTGTCTGTAACAAAGTATAAGGCACAGTCCCTTCCCCTTATGGGTCTTATAATCTCATTGGATAGGCAAGAACCATACAAATAAAAACTAACTGACGATACAAATTCATGACAAGTTATTTCCTCTGGAAAACTTCTCCTGGATCCTCCATGGCTGGCTAAGATGTGTTTTATGTGCTCTGGTGGCATGTTTGCAGAGTTCCCAGCATGTGTAGCATGCTGTGTTGCTCCTCACTCCTCTGTCCCCTGCATGGGCTTCATGCAGATGAGGACTATGTTATTGTATTAACTATTGATTATTCACTAATCCTTAGTAAGTGTTTAATAAATGTTTCTTGGCCAAAGTGAGGCAGACAAGTGATACAGGGGTGGCCAGGCTGGGAAGACTAGGAAAGTTCATCATGGAGAAGCTAAGTCTCAAGTTGAACCTTACAGGATGGGCAGGACCTAGAGGATGGAGATAGCCCGTGGAGGCCCTAGTCATTAGGAGAGTGTTCTATGTAGTTGGAGAGGCAGGAGCGAGGCCCAGTACTGGGAGAAGGCAAGGTAAGCCAGGGGCAAGGGAGCAGAGTGCAGCGATACAGATGTCTAGAGAAGTAGATTCAACATGTTCTCATCCATCCTTTTCTCCTGTGTCTACATATGGAAGCTTCTATTTCTAGACTAAATGACTTCAAGTTAATGCAAAAGGAACATGAATAGCAGGCAAATTTCTCCTCCCTGTTTTATCATTTAATTTATATATCCTCCATGCATATGTAAACACACAAATAAATTTACACATTCTAATAAACCATTACATTTATTAGACAGTAAGAAGTGTTGCCAGGAAACCAGTTGTCAAGCAAAGCTATATTTTGAAGAGTGGGAGGTGTATAATTGTCTTTAAATACTTTCTCTGGATAGTAATTACCCCCACCCCCACCCCAGCCCCAACCCACGTGACTCTCCTGAACAGCTCTGCGCAGGAGCAGCCTGATTTAGTGGGACTGGGGGCAAAGTAGTTCCAGATCCACGTGACAAGTCTGACCTTATAACACCCCACAGCTGCTACCCACAAGCTGGAGAAAAGAGGGGTTTGGTCAAGTTCCTGGTATTAAACTGACTCCAAGTCAGTTTCTACATACTATAAAAGAAAGCAACCTTGATTGGTTTGGATTCTGAATAACAATTATCTCTGAGTTCTGTATTATGAGAGTGTGTCTATTTAAAACATATCTTTGCAAATATAATGTAAGCTATTTAAGATCAAATACGACTTTGTCCCCCAAACTTATTTTATAAGAAAAATATATTATCAACTTTATTTATAATAAGTACAAATGCAAAAAGAAGCAGAACTTTGCCCTGGCATGATAGGACTTCTCAGTATCAAAATCTGGCAGAAGCTGGACGCAGTGGTACACACCTGTAATTCCAGTGGCTCAAGAGGCTGAGGCAGGAGGATCATGAGTTCAAAGCCAGCCTCAGCAAAAGCGAGCTGCTAAGCAACTCAGTGAGACCCTGTCTCTAAATGAAATACAAAATAGGGCTGGGGATGTGGCTCAGTGCTTGAGTGCCCCTGAGGTCAATCTCCAGTATCCCCCCCCCAAAAAAAATCTGGCAAATAACAGTGAAACTCACCCTTCTCTAAGACTATCTGGAACTCATTGTCCCATACCTTTGTCCCTCTCTATCCTAACTCGTATCCAAGGTGGTTGGTCTGGAGGTTGCAATCATCCCAAAATGCACTAGAAGCTAATTTTCTCAAGGTATTGCATTTCTCTAGTGTAGCAGGTAAGTGCCCCCTTACCTGCCAGCCTGCATGCTCACTGGAGATGGCGTTCAACCACCCTGGTTAATTCTTCCCTCCCTCCCCTGGGCCCAAACTATATTCATCTAATCTGTAACAAATTTTAGCAAAAGCTTGGTAACAGGATTTTCTGCAGATAGTAGGTAGACAAATGACAGAGTTAGAAACATAGATGAAGACAAGCAATCCCCAAAGGGAGTTTAAGGTATGAATGGAAGGATCTATTAGAACAGACGTCAATATCCCCAGAGCCTCTGAATGTGAGTTGTCTCTGACATCCTGGAGTTGGGCAAGGTTTGAAGGGGCTTACATCCTAAAGCTGGAAGGGCACAACATGTAGCACACATAACAGTCCCTTGCCCACTTCAGGCACACTTGCACATGATGCTGCATGACCCAGGGGGCTGCTATGAGACATGCCATTTGCAGGGTAGCTTTTTCACACAAATGACCTGTGATGCTCCATCATAACAACTCCATGGAGAAAATGACTCTGAGATGCTTAATCATCTCTGTCCAGACTGGTGATATGGACTCATGCTGTGGACTCTGATTTAGAATACAAGACTGTAATTCAGTTTTATTAAGGTGAGTTTTTATAGCCTGTCCCTGTAACACACACACACACACACACTCTCTCTCTCTCTCTCTCTCTCTCTCTCTCTCTCTCTCTCTCTCTCTCACACACACACACACACACACACACAAACTGAAAGTTTTATTTAAACTTTTTCCTTACTGTTTATTTTAAAATTTTCTTATGATATGGTATGTATCAGAATATTTTCTATTTGGTTCCTTTTCTCAGTGCCAGTCATGACCAACTAGATAACTTTCATGGCTCAATAATGGCCTTCAGTATGAGATTTGAAAATCTCTGCTCCATGGCATGTTTATTTAGAGGAATGTCAGCCTAGACCAGGGACACTAGAAAATGAAAGTTATTTTTATAGATATTCAATGGGTAGACTCCAAAATTATGCTTTTTTGAGTTCCAAAGCAGAAGCTCTCAACCTGCCTGGTGGCCTGTCTACATACATGCCCAGCAAACACCAAGCCCATGTCCCTAGCTGAGCACTCCACCCTTCTCATAGCTGACCTCCTGGCCCAGAGCACTCCTCCTCCTCTGGCCCTCTATTGGATCAGGGCGCCACTCACCCATGTCATCCCAGCTAAAAGTTTCATCATCCCTTTCTCCCACCTTGAACTCCAGTCATCTCCAAGTCCTGTTGATACTACTCTCAATGCTACTGTCAGCTCAGTGTCTTTTCCTTAATAAAGCTTCTACATCCATCACCTCCAACCCAGACAATTAAAAGAGCATCCCTCACACCATCCCTGAAGAAGTTAACAGTGTGGTTGTGTCTGTCAGACGTTTGGTTTTCTGAAATCAAACCCAAGCATGCTGTTCCCTGAAGCCCTCCGAGTGGCTCTCTGCAGTCTCCCTCCTAACACCTCTTCAGCATCCCCTGCCTTCTCTCCTGGGTCAGTGTAGGTATTTATTAACTGTATCACCTACTGTGTTAGCCATGTAGCTATGTTTTCACTGCATGAAGAGGTTGAAACTAAAAACAGGTTGTCACAGAATCATAAATGTGAATGTGTTTTCGGGATCATCCAACTTCATGCTTCTCAATCATATTACATGTTAGAACCAGCTGGAGAACATGTAAAAATACCAGTGGAATTTGGGGGCTATTTTAAAATACCTAGCCCCCAGAAAATCAGATTGAATTTTTTGTTGTTGTTGTTGGGGTCAGGGGGAAGGGTTTCAGGTAGTTTTTAAAGCTTCCCAAGGTAACCCTGGGTATAGCCAGGTTTGAGAATCACTGACAAAGTTCCCTAATCAAGAGACTAGGAATACTGTGTGGACAAGGGTATCTGTGTACTGCATGAACTTTTATGTAAATGTGTGTTCCTGTGCGGTGTGCCCAATTTTGCAAACAGAGGATCTAAATATTCATCAGATTCTCACAAAATTCCCTGACTCCATAAAAGCAAAGATCCTCTGATGCAGATTAAACCTTGTTCTGAATGATAAGGCTACATAAAGTAAGGGGCATGAGATCAGGCTGGAGGGAGGCCAAGCCTGGCTCTTGCTCCTAGAACACTGGTCAAGCTGCTTAACTCCCATGGCCCATAGTTTTCTCTTCTACAATAGAAGAATAATGCCTGCTCTGCAGAGTTATTTAAAGAATTGCAGAGAAGTCTTGAGAAGTACTAAGACAGTACTAGGCATATCAGAGGTTTCATTACTGGTAACCATTATTAGTCCTATCACTATCACCACCATTATTACTAATTCTTCTTGATATTTGCAATACTATTTCTAATAATGCCATTATTAGAAAACAAAGACACTTTGATTTATGGAGCACCTCAGCTTTGTGCCAGATGCCTTACGTGGCATTTTTATCCATCCCCACACAGCACTGTGAGGTTGGCTCTGTTCCCATCTCACAGATGAGAAACCAAGACTCAGAGAAGTTCAGGGGCATACTCAAGGTCTCACAACTAAGCAGTGAGCCCAGTGAACTTGATGGAGATCTTGTCTCCTTGCCACCAGGCTGCTGTGCTCTAGTAAGACCCCGTCAGCTAAGAGTGAACAGAAGCCATGTGGCATGCTTCACGGGGGCAGAAATCTGCATTTTACAGCCAGCCCCATCCTCTCCCTGCCCCCTTTCCAGCCGCTACTGGCGCAGATGGAATCGGTTCTGCAGAAGAAAGTGCCGTGCCGCAGTCAAGTCTAATATCTTCTATTGGCTCGTGATCTTCCTGGTGTTCCTCAACACGCTCACCATCGCCTCGGAACATTACAACCAGCCCCACTGGCTCACCGAAGTGCAAGGTGAGCAACAACCCCTGGCTCTGTCCCCATCAACTCTTGCTATCTCAGCCCTGGGTCCTGAGGTAATCACAGGCAAGCTGCCAATGGATGTGGCTCTTGGCAGGTGCCCTGCTGGAGACACCAAGGCCTGGCAGCTCACATGCCACACGGTCAAAGGCACAACCTGTTTATAAACAGACATAGCTTACCTGACTGGGGGCATACCATCTGCCTGCCCCCGCAGTCACTGCTGGGCTTGGGTGATAAAAATGCTCTGAGACCCTGGGCTGCCAACTTCCCAGAGTGAGTTTTGATTCAACAGGCCTTACTAAAACCTCTAGGTGGCCTTACCCTGAATACATCAGGATGAGATGAGCCAAGAAAAAACTGGATGAGAAAAATAGTACCTGAACCCAAGGAACTATCCCCAAAGACTGGTTAAGACCCATCACCCTGTTTTGGACCACTAGAAGGGAGTCCACCAGGCAGCATCAATCCCAGGGAGGGGGCTGCATTCCAGAATCCTGCAGGCAATTAGTCTAGTGGTTCAAAGATCAGACTCAGACAGCCTGGTTTCAACTTTTGCCTGGTTGACTTGGGCAGATTACTGGTCTCTGAACCTTTTTTCCTCATCTTTAGAAAATGGGCTCGACTATAATAATTCCAAACCTCACAGAATTTTTGTGAAGGGTAAACAGGATAATGCATGCAAAGCCTTTGATGCATGGTAGATGCCCAATAAATGTTTATTATGATTTAATTAGATATCCCTTTCCTGTTGGATTGGCCCTAATTATTTGTTCTGGAAGGAGTGGATGGAAGAAGTGTCATGGGAGGGAGGGATGCTGGGCCTTTTTTCTCCAGATGTGATAATTACTGTTTTCTTTCTCCTCTTCCCTCTCTACTCCCCTCTCACCTACTTGCTTGGACCCCACTTCTCTCCTGGAAACTGCCAGACACAGCCAATAAGGCCCTACTGGCCCTTTTCACCGCAGAGATGCTCCTGAAGATGTACAGCCTGGGCCTGCAGGCCTACTTCGTGTCCCTCTTCAATCGCTTTGACTGCTTCATCGTGTGTGGGGGCATCCTGGAGACCATCCTAGTGGAGACCAAGATCATGTCTCCCTTGGGCATCTCTGTGCTGAGATGCGTCCGGCTACTGAGGATATTTAAAATCACAAGGTACGTGACACTTCAATTCCCTATGGAAATAGGGCTTGGGGAGAAGTCTCCCAGAAGGCAGGGGATGGGGGAGGCCTGGGTGGGAGAATAGCTGCTATTTCTGGAAGGGCCTAGCCTCAGCTCCTAATCCAACAGAGAAGAGCTTTGGGTCATTTGGGTGGCATGTTGTTTAGAAGTTTTGTCAGTTGCTAATCCCAGAGGCTCAGCTTAGTGGCTCAAGCAAATCAGGGATTCAGCCCAAAAGTGAGCCAAAAAGGTGACTGGGACCAAGTTTCCTCTGACCTTTCCTTCACCTGCCTTGTGCCAATTCCACCCCAGATGGCTTCTAGGGACTAAGATATCATGTTCAAATTCAAGGCAGGAAGTAAAAAAAATAAATAAGGGCAAAAGGGAAAAACAACCACTGAGTCACTTCCTCACACCCAAGAATCTCTCCCTGACACACCTGTTGGGATGGATACTGTTTAAAAAATAAAATAACAGGCACTGAGGAGGATATGGAGAATCTGGAACCCCTGTGCACTGTCAGAGGGTATGTGAAATTGTGCAGCCACTCTACGGCAGTTCCTCAAAAACTTAAAAACAGAATTACCATATGATCCAGTAATTCCACTTTGGGGTATATATCCAAAAGGATTGAAAGCAGGAGCTAGAAGAGATATTTGTACATATATATTCATAACAAAATTAGTCACAAGAGCTAAAAGGTTTGAGCACCTCAAGTATCCATCAACATTTGGATAAACCAAATGTGGGAGATGCATACAATGGACTATTACTCAACCTTAAAGAGGAAGGAAATTCTGCCATGTGAATGAACCCTGAGAACATCATACTAAGTGAAATAAGTCAGAAAAAATACTGCATGACTCCACTTAGTTCATGTACTTGGAGTAGTCAAAACCATAGAGGCAGCCAGTGGAAGACTGTGTGTGAGGGCTGGGGAGAGAGGAAAGGAAAGTTATTATTTAATGGGTACAAAGTTTCATATTTGCAAGATGAAAAGTTCTGGTGATGGTCCTGGTGTTGGTACAATATTATAAGTGTATTTAATACCCTTGAACTGTACACTTAAAAATGGTTAAGATGATCGCTTTTTATATTATATATGTTTTAGCACAATTCTTAAAGTTAGAGGTAAAAATCTCTCCCAGAAACCTCACCAGGGGTTTCTGTTCTCATTGGCCCTGAAACTGTTAGGAAGGCTGAGAAATGGAGTGTCTTAGCCAGGCCTGGGCTGCTGAAAATGCAATGGAGATTCGTTAACTGTGGAACAAGATGATGGGTATGGTGGCACAGGTGGCTTTCACCTCTCTCCCACACGCTCAGCCCCCTCCATCTGTCTGTCTACCCTCCCCCAGAGACTGCAGTCTCCCTCAATTTCCAGGCAGGTGTGATTCTCATGAAGAGGTCAGGACAGGGGCGCAGGAGGGGACAGCTTGCTCCAAAACAGTTTTCAGCTGTGCTGTGGTCCATCTGGGGTGGTGAAACCAGTTCATTGGATCACAACCATCATTTTCAACAACTGTACTGAGATACAATTCTTATGCCATATATTCATTCACCCTTTGGAATGTATCATTCAAAGGGTTTTGGTCTATTACAGAGTTTGCAGCCATCGCCACATTCTGGTTTTAGGACATTTTCATCACTCCCTAGTTCTTTCAACTTCCCTCCCAGCCCTAGACACGAATGCTTTAGGTCTCTAAAGATTTGCCTATTGTGAAGTACTCATATAAATGAGATCATACATTGTGTGGTCTTCCATGACTGACTTCTTTCACTTAGTGTAATATTATCAGGACTTATTCAGGTTATAGCATATATACGTTTTTATTGCTAAATAATATTCCATTGTATGGATATATCACATTGTGCTTATTTTGTTTGTCAGTTATGAGATTCAGTTGTTAGCATTTTTGGCTACTATGAATAATGTTGCTATGAACATTCATATTCAAGTTTTTGTATAGATTATATGTTTTCATGTCTCTTGGCTGTATATAACTAGGAATGAAATTTCTATGGCATTGGCTAACTCTGTAATTAAGATCTTGAAACAGTTTTTGGTGATAATCGTGGTGCTGGCACAAAATTATGAGCGTACTTAATGTCCTTGAACTGTCAAGCTGTTTTCTAGAGACTGGACCATTTTATGTTCCCACAAACAGTATACAGTATCAGGGCTCCAATTTCTCCACATTCTCACAATGATAATTTATATTTATTTGCCTTGTTTTTAGTTTTGTAATATTTTTATTTTTAATTGGCACTTAGTAATCGTGTGGATTTGGGGAGTACAGTATGGCATTTCAATGCACGTAGACTCTGTATAATGATTAGGCCCAGCTCCTTGGTACATCCATCACCTAGACATTTACTGCTTCTTTGTGTTGGGGACATTCAGTATCCTCTCTATAAGCTATTTGAAACCATCAATTAATTGTTGTCAACCATAGTTATCCTGCTGTGCTACAGAACATTAGAAATCATTCTTCCTATCTAACTGCCCCCTTTACCTGCTAACCATCCACTTCCCATCCCCTTTGCCTCCACACCCTTTCCTGCCTCTGGTAACTATTCTATTCTATTCTCTACTTCTTTGAGATCATTTTTTTTTTTTGGCTTCCACACATCAATAAGATCATGCAGTACTTGCCTTTCTGTGCCTGACTTACTTCAGTTAACATAATGTCCTCCAGTTCCACTCATGTTGCTATAAATGACAGAATTCCATTTTTCTTGTCACAACCATCATTTTTAATTAAAGAATGAAATAGAATGGAAAAACATCAGTGGGCCTCCTTGGCCAAAACATGTGGATTGCTACAGAAAACCCCTTGAGATGTGTATGTGATATATGTATATGCTTTCTTAATGTGGGTTATGGTCTACTTAAAAGGACATATCAAAAACACCAGGAGGAAGCTTTCAAACTGCCCCCCCACAAGGCAGAAGCCCTTTTCCTTAAGAATCTCTTTTGAGACACTACCCCCACCTACCCACGTAAACACAAATCTTTGCTCTGGGAAACTTTGATAATAGGAGTATTAAAGCCACTAACTGGATTGTGTTGAAGAAAGCAATGGAGGTTGGTATCTCCACTTCAAGGACAAAACTCATCAGAGCTGTCTCAAGGTATTCCAAACTTGACTGAGTCACCAGGGCCATGCAAAGCATCCCTGAGTTTCCCTGCTCTCTTCACAATTCTCTCAGCAACCATTCAAATGCACAGGTTCCTGAGCACCAGCAAGACAAGGCCTTTAAATGTTGAGTTCAGTGCCAGGCACAGGAAGCATTCACTCAATAACCAGAGATTTTATCATTAGTTCAGCAAGTCTCATTGCTATTATCAGGAGAAGGAAGAAGGACAAAAGGGCTAAGAGTAATGTAACATACACATTCTCACACTCACTTATGTATCCACCGTATATACAGCCCTTTGTCACTTTGTGATAGAGGTATGTTCTGAAACTGCATTTTGCAGTTTCACCATTGTGTGCACATCATAGAGAGAACCCACACAGACTAGAAGGGCTGTGGTGTCACAAGAGATGTTATCTTAGGGGACCACCGCACCATCATAAATACAGTCCCTTGACTTAAATGTCATTATGTGGCTCATGAGTACAGTGTGTTGAATTCTGAGAGGTTAAAAAAAAAAAAAAAGATGGTGTGAAGTGAACCCAGGATAAATTTATAGTCTGGTTGTGAGGTGAAGATTGTGCATATGAAAAGATTAAGGAAACTCTAAGACAGGATATAACAAGCTGACAAAGTATGTGTGGGGGAAATAGCTGCTATGGGAACTTGGGAACAGGAGCGAGAAGGTTTAATATCAGGTAAAGGACTTCAAGGGCATGAAGAATTTAAATCCACACATTTAACATTCTAGTACAACAACCTCCTTCCCTCTCTTCCCCCAGAAAAGCTCTTCTTGACCTTCCTGAATATATTGACATTAAAGAAAATTCCTGGTTTATAATAAAAGTAGTAGAAAAACCAATAGTAATAATCATTAGTGCACATCAGGGCTCACTATGTACCAGAAAGGGTGATATGAAAGTTGTCATCCAGTAGCTCCAATAACCCTGACAACCACGTCTAAGAGGATGAGTGTGGGGTACTATAATTATTGGTATTCCCACTTTGCAGATGAGGAAACTGAGACTTAAGAGTGTTAAGTTACTTGCCTGAGATCACACAACTGCTCATGGGTAACACTGGGAGTAAAAAGCAGGTCCTCTTGCAGACTGCCTGTGCTTCTGACCCCACTGTGATGCACTGAACTACTTTGTTTTTTGTGTCCTGAGATAGGACCTCAAGAATTTTTTGCATATGGATTCTTATTAGATAAGTGCTGATTCAACTTGCTGCTCCTGGAGTCTGGTAAAATCTAATTTTTGCTTGGACTTTTCAGTGCCTTTTAAATAATACTCAAAAGTCCATATCTTGAGATTCTGTTTGTTTGTTTGTTTTCCCTATAGAAAAAAAAAATCTTGCTGCTAGATATTGTTAGAGCATCTTTAAGAGACTGAGCATTCATTCTATTTGGATCACCAATTTATCTATACCTAATGCAAAAACATGGCCAAGGAACTATTTTTCAAAATCTGTCTTTAATTTTTTTGTTTTAATTAGTTATGCATGACAGTAGAACATATTTATGCACTCTGATGTATCATACATAGGTGGGATATAATTTCTCATTTTTCTGAGTGTACATGTTGCAGAATCATGTTGGTCATGTAGTCACATATATACATAAAGTAATAATGTCTGTTTAATTCTACCTCTTTCCTATTCCCACATCACCTCCCCTCCTCTCCCTTCACTTCCCTCTACCTAACATTCTAGTAACATTCTAGTAATTCTAAGGTAACACTCTTCTTCTCTATCAAAATCTGTCTTGATCAGAGAGCTTTTCATAGCCCTTTCACAAGAAGGATTAGTAGTATTTTCAGATCTCTAGAAAGATTGTAAACAGGATAATTCCATTA